AGCTTGGTGGTCAATCCAATCCCATCACCATCATCTGCTTTACGGGTGCTCTTATGTTCTTGTTAACGAATGCTCAACAATTTTTACAATGCTTGAAGAAACTGGATATTGCTGAACAAATTATCGTTTTGAAAACGTTCTTGTCCCTAGGCTCTACAGATGTCTAATGGAACGATAATCTCCGTACTCTTCGACTGAATGTATTTGGCATGAGCAGACCATATGAAAATGAACTAACGCCACATCTGTGTTAGAAAAGTTAAGTAGCTCGAATATATCGGTAAGATCTAAAGAGTACAGTGACAACTAACTCCGTGTCTACCTTTTAGACTGTGGGATTCCTCTTGTCTCATAGCATGGAACAACTGCAACAATTTTCTCAAAAAACTGGAGCCTGAGTTGGCTGTCCAGGTTGTCACTTCCACTCTCGCTAAGGCAAAATATAAAATACCAGAGTCCCCGATCATTTTGTTATCTCATTTACCATGTGAAGTATCAAAGTCATCCTTTATTTCGTCAAGTCTAAGAAACACTATCACTTGTGACATTCAACATTCTCTTCGACATTTCATTGAAATCGCTGTAACGAAGCCATAATTGCTTCTGATTCCTGCTCCCAAAAATCTCTTGAAGTGTGAATGACTGCTAATTTCATGCTGGCCGAGGCGGGAGAATGCTCAAATCGCACAGAATTTCTTCCATCACACTAATACGCCTTCCCGTATAGAATTTCATAGTTTTTTTTCACTAATTTACAAACAACATGGGAAGAGTTATCCGCTCACTTATTTCTACCAATATTCGCATGTGACCCTGATAAGACTCTACAGTTTTAAATCCGTCAATAAACGGATTCCACGTCGTTTTTGAAAAGGTGATTAGCTATAACGGCTTCCCCAGTCATCTTTAGTGGTGTGGCCGCAGTCAGTTTTTCTGTTTTTCTGAAAGCTCTATTTCTGATGCTATCACAGTATGTCTGATAATCATTTTTCGCGCAATCCATGTGGTCTGTAATATCGCAATTCATGAAGCCCGATACACATATTTCGGCCTTGACAGCCTTATCAGTGGAACACCTTTCGTTTTTAGCCAATCCTCTCGAGAGAACCCAACCCCTTATAGAGCTGGCAATAACGAACATTTGACATGCCATTAAGTGAAAATGTCATTAAATGACAATGTTTCACATTCGATTACTTTTGGCTGGTTTCGTGAAATATATCATACCTTTCATTTCGTTTTTTTCTTGAGAACACGCTCAACTTTCAATGTGCCTGATAATCATTTTTTTGAACCATGCATGCGGTCTCTCATAGGGAAAGTCGAGAGTGGACTTAAGAAAGCACTCAAAAGAAAAGCTATCAAGATATTAGAGTAAGACTCTGAAAGTCAAAGATTTCGAAGATTTCAGTCAACAACTCAGCTATGTTATAAGAATGTCGAATCAACTAATCTAATTCATGCTCACAAGAGCACACCTTTCTAAGCCACCAGCAAAAAAAAAACGATGGTTATGACAATTCATTTTCTTTCCTAAAAAATTTGAAGTGCATTTAAAAATTATTACCTTTGCGAAAAAAACTGACACTATCATTAAAAGTCACCATTAATCATAATAGGTTGGAGAAAAAGTTGTTTTTTAAGTGTTAACCATTTTCTGTGTTTTGAAATTCTTTTAAAAGCCGTCTTTCGCGTTGACAGGTATACACCTCGTGTGACACACTCGTCCATGTAAGACTCAGTGCGGCTGGTTTACACTAAAACGTTCAGGCTCTGAGGAAGGCAAGACTGCCGAAACGTTAGCCACGGATACGATCTCTATTGTACTACTTTGCACAGATTAAACTTGTATCAAAAACCTCGTGTGTGCTGAAGCAAGAAAAGTTACAAGCATTTTCTCAGAACTTTTCTCGAACCTATTACAAATGCACTAAAGCACTTGCATCATCACAATAGAATCTGTTACAGATGAATTTCAAATATGGCAGTCCACTTCTTAGTAGGAAAGCCATTAGCAATTCCGGAGTTTAATATGATTATCGAGACAAAGAAGTTGCTTGTTCAATTTTTCAGAAGATTAAGTTAATCTTTTGCGATTGCATTCACCTCTCTACGTCAGCTTCATCATAGGCTTTTTTCTCTTATTTTGTTTCCATACTTATTTTAGTTACTACATAAGTCTCGTCCGGAAATCCTTCGTTTTCAAAGCATCTGAATTCACTGCATCGCAATAGATACACAGTAATCGCATCCTATAGGCGAAAGCGAATGCTTTCCGTTGAAATCCATTTCAATTCATAAAGTCATTCCTGAGCCTCGTTTGAATTTTCGTTAAGTGGCTACTCATTACCAGCTGCCAACTTTGTTGAAAATCATTACAAGGGGAGGAGGAGCTGTACGAGTCTATACATCCAATCATAATGGTTAAGAATTTTCTCCATACATGGTACTTCAAGCGAAAGCGTTACTGTATTCGCTTTGCTGGGTCACATCCAAACATTACTTTTGTGTGAAGAATTTCATGATCTGATCCGTGTATGATTTGGACATCGGCTACATTGATCAGGCAAAACTTTGAATTTACTTTTATGTGTTCAAATTCGTTGTGGTTCCTTGCATTGGGAGCCTTTCACGTACAGCGACTTTTGAAATGTAAATTACCATGGGCTGGATAGATGGACGAACATCCACCAACATCACTCCATTCATAAGTCTCAATGTTACATTATTTAGACGTTCTTCCGGGCCAAGTAATAGAAGCTAATGAAAAGTAGAAAACTTCAGTAATCTGCTTAGGACGGCAGTATATAAGCCTTCTCATCGACGATATATCATCACTTCACTCTGAGCGGAACATTTCTGGTTTAGACCACTTTATTACACGAACACTAGGACAATAAGAAGTTAGTAGCTCATGGAATTCAGAATTTTTTCAGCAAATTTTATTGCGAGGCAATCCGCTAACAATCCGCCAATCAGCTTATCACAATCAGTTGTGAAAGGTTATTAAATTCTAGACACAAGGAAAGCCGAGCAGTCATCTGCTTAAATTGTATTATTTGTTACGCGTATGAGTTTCATATTTCCATTTCATTTTTTTCACCAATTGTCCTACTTTTTCCTCCACTCTATTTTATTCAATTTCTATGATAGACATTTTCTGGATGCATACTTTATTGCTGAAGTAATTTAACACTCATTGATTTACGTATTATTACTAATAATATACATGAGAAATATAAATTGAAATGTAAATCTTCTTGATTTATGCAGGCATTTCTGTGTGAGATAAGTAATGACAAAATTCTCAAGACCGACTGTCTATTAACCTCGTCATGCTTCAATGTAATTGCTGATTTTCTTCTTTAAGCAAAACACGAGGTGTTACATTAAACTTTATTTCACAGCTGACGTCTCGGCAGTTTGCCTTCTTCAGAGCCTGGAAAGGTCAAATTGTGCGCAATCCAATCAGACAAACATCTCCATTACTGCTTTAGAAAAAAATCACCAGACATAATGACAAAATTTCAGATAACTCCCATGTTCGCAGCGGTTGAATATTCTGGTCATGCTACCAAATGAATCTTCTAGCGAATTGGAATGTACAAAGGTAGAAAAAAAATCCATCAGTCTCATTTTCATGCCATTTTTTCTGTCCAGTACAATTGCTTCTAATGATAATGTTTGTTAACTTATTGAGGTTGGCCTGGATTTGGTACAATATCCGCTGTTTCGGACAATTCAAATGCTTTATACACTTTTCTCCTTGGCATCACCTCCCTTATTATTTTGTGGTGGAGGTTCACTGACAGACCCGAGTTCGAACTAAGGCGGCCAATGCACCAAATGTGGTAAAGGTTCAGTGCTTTTGTTGTTGTTATCTGCTGCAAACTTGTGTCTCGCAACGGACAAGAGAGCAAAGATCAAATACTTTACATGGATTTATACCAAACAATGTCGTTGTACCATACAATGTTGTAGAACCAAACAACCTATGATATACATACATTACTATAATAATAATGTATACATGATTGCAATATATCGTTATGTGACATATGCCCATCTCAATGTGAGTGACCGATCGATGAGAAGTGTCGTCATCTCACGATGCTAGAGTGTTATTATAACTGACAGTGTTATTGTAACTGAAGAAGTTATTGAAACTGGCGATGTTATTGTGACTGACGATGTTATTGTAACTGACGGAGCATGACTAGGCGGAGCCCCTTCGAGTTGTTATGCTCGCCCCAGAAAAACAAGCCAACGGTGGGATCCAGTGGGTAAATATATAGTGTGATAGTAGTTGGTTCACTACTGATTATATATGGGCAGAATCCCTTTACCGTGGTGGCGGGTCGAGCATAGCCTAAGTGAATTCGCTCCGCCACGGAATCGCTGTGCTTCTCTCACAATTCTATTTTGTTCATCTGACAGTTGCATGAACTGGAGAGAGCAATAATGGATCAATTACGATTTGGGGTGAGGTGGTCCGGGTGATGTCAGACGACCGTTCGGATGATGCCCCGCAATCGAACTGACTGTTGAGGTTGGTGGCAGCTGAGTGCCGCCCTCGCCACTTGGACCATTTTCTGAGGTCCTCGAACCTGTGCGATACCACTTGCTCTCTAGAGTCATGGACCATCTGCGTTGCCTAAATTATCATGTAATTCCCGAAAAGATAGCAAAACTCCCTTGGGAAGTTTGCTATATACTTTATGTAGAGGTCAAATATAGTTTGGTATCCACTTTTAATCGCAACATAAAGGTATACGCCGTTCAGTAATTATTCGCGTTAGTTGTAGTAGATATTCAAGTAGATAGTGCATAATCAGTCAGAATTCTTCCTACTTGACCGCTACCTGCAGTGCTATGATGTTACAGTATATCCAATAATGTGGAGTGTTGTGCAGAACATTTGCGTCAGCCAGGATTCGAGCCCAGATCTCACTCCTTCCAGGAGCGTATGCTTACCGTTGCACGACCGACGCTCTTCTGGTACATCAGGTGGTGCAACGGTCAACATACGCTCCCGGAAAGAGTGAGATCTGGGCTCAAATCCCGGCTGACGCAAATGTTTTTGCACATCACTCCACATTATAAGATAGTGCATAGTTTGATTCCAAATAGTGGTCAGGGCGCGATACAAATTAGCATTCTTTTGAGCCTATTTACAAAATTAATAACGAAAGCTTTTGAAATTATTCCCCTGCGTATTGAGCCGAATAATAGCCACTACTCAATCTTTTTAAGGTCATTTTATTATTGCATTACTTTTCGATATTGTTTCAGTCAACGGCGTACATCGGCGCTTGGGTGAAATATTTGATAAATTCATGGAGATGCGCTTTTCAATAATTCTTAAATGTAAACCAATTGGCTCTTTCAATCAGAAACTGCCGATACGTTAAAAAACACGAGGCTTCACCATGAAAATTTCAAACTTCTTGGAAAATTGTTTTTAGGCTCACCAAATAATCAGTTCACTAGTTAATACACCTTGCGATTTCTTTCCGCCCAAGTACACTTATGCAGCTTTTCATCTGGCCATCGTTCCTTCATCTTATGTGATGGTATGTTTTCAAAGCCCACCAATAATATGATTCTTCTATCACTTACCAGCAGAGATACTCACAATAGTTGATAAGTCGCTGTTGGAAGATGTCTTGAAAAAACAAGCTGCGATGTGCAACAGGTAGCTCATTTTTCTGCACATGATCAGAGCTTAATTTCAACACAAGATATTCACGCAAAAACTTCCATTGGATGTCATTGCAATGATTTATTAGTGGAACTGATCGTGGTGGAAAGATGGAATAAATGAGATAAATTGCATAACCGCTCAAATTTCTGCTTTCAACAAGCAATGCGCTGTCATCATAAACATCTCTGTCGACATTAATTCTTAGCTACCTTCTGAAACAACTTAGTCAGATATATAGTGCGGTTGGAAAGAAAGTTGTGGGGGCACTTTAATCACTTGGCGACCAAGTAGAAATCTGGGCGCGACATGCGACGTGGTCGCACGGCAAATGCAGCCACCTAGAATCACAGTGCGACGGTCTTCTAAGTGAACCTTTACTTTTATCGTCACTGAAAGGACTTTAATCGTTAACAAGTTATGAAAGACGCTGGAAGGGAGTTTGATAAGGCTACTTGTACTATGAAGAACGTCGATTATCTTTCCCAGAATTCCGTGTTTCAAGGGAATAGCCAGATACACACGAAAATAATATGTTTCATACTGTTACTGAACATTCTTGCCCTATCTTGTCTATTTTCATTCATTGATCAATCATATTATCTTTTAATTTTCATGTTGACAACTTCTTCTTATTCATTGCCTCATATGAACAATAGCCAAATAATTAAGCACTTTATCACTTTTTTCTTCTGAAATCAGAAATTACGACAAAAATCTTTGAGTTTTGGAACTATTCCATTTTATAAAATATCTCAAAGTCATGATAACGATTAAAAATGAGAAACTGATCACATATTGGTTAAAAATGATGCTGCACACTGCATGCAATGCCACTTCATCAATGATTCTCAGTAATTTTCAAAAAGACTTTATTCTATCGACTTACGGGTACTAACTCTCTCCGCGTTTATTCTATACTGCGAACGCATTTGATCACTGTGATTTTAACACTGGATATTTGTACCGTTTAAACCCTCTACGTATTCCTTCTAGTTGATGCCCTCAAGAAGACTTCATGCTCCCGATCAGATTGTCGGCTCTTCTAACAACTCCAGTGTGACCACATTCAGGTAAATGTGAATGTCCAACAAAAAACAGAGGCCTGCATGTTGCTCAACTGCTTCCGATGGGTATCGTTTTTACCAGTAGGAGTATTCCCTCCACCGCATGATTTGTTTCCGTTCTTCCGTCTGCACGTTCAAACAAAAGCTTGAAGCTCTTACTCCATCCTTAGCTAATAATAGAATTATTTACTCGTAGGCCTTGTTGATTTCTGCGAATATAGTTAACGGATGCAAGGAGGAATTGGGTACATTTGCGTCACGAAACAACTCTGGGCCTGGATTCAATTGTATCTAATTGAGGAGCAGACAAATATCTGTGGCGATCGGAGGATTGATGACATCGAAAAAGACGGAATTTTTGGGACGTGTTGGCGTACTTCCTACTGAAAATGCCTACGGAAATTTCCTTGGCATTATGTCGTTACCTTGTGACAACTTTTGTACTGGGGCTTGGTTTATAGAAAGGCCTTTTTAGAGAGTAATACCACAGTGGGAAAGATACGCATCGTATTCGGGATAGTGGCCAGACCATTTAAATTTTGCTATATACTGTCAAGAGAACCTTCGGCGAAGTTCAAGCAATGAAATGAGTATCTCGAAGAATAGGCGTATTTTTCCCTGCCATGGTATTACTCTCTAAAAAAGCCTTTCTAGAAACCAAGTCTAGTGCAAAATCTTCATTTCTTAAGTATAGATAGATTACTAAAATTCCAGTGAAAATATCTTCTACGTAAAAATGCAAGGAAACACAAGCACATTTCACAGATATGACTGCACTTCGCACAGTTTGTACTAAAAAGTGGAAATTTTTTAGGCAACTAGAATCTCTTATTTACTAAAAACAAGTTTGTAGAAATCTCTTCAGTATTAATCAATACTTTGTGACGACAAAATTTCCCTGGAATCAAAATTTCACTACATAAAACCAAAAAATCCCCCTATGAGGTTGGAAAAATGGACTACAACTGTAAAACGTTACCTTTGTCTTAGTTAATTGAACGCAGTATGAAAGCCTTTCCGCAAAGCAAACTCAATATGAGAATCTACATTTCTCAAGTCTCGAATGACTACAAAAACGTAATTAAAAAGGAAGGAATCATGTTATATAACACGTGGAAATTTATTTCCCTTTCGCAACAAAGTGGTTTTCTCCTTGGAACATGGAATATTTCTTGGTACATGAGGTTTATTATCATCATAAAACTCTTTATAAGAGTCGCTTCTGTTATATTTTTTTTTCAAAATATTCCACGGTGGAAATGCGTGATATATTCCCAAAAATATTCTGTTCAGTTGAAACAGCTTTCGCCGAGAGCAAAACATATTCTCTTTCTAGTTATCACTTCATAATCTCACAAACCAATCTTATTGCTAGAATCTACAGTCCTCAGGGTAGTTAACGTTCTCAGTAACTGGTGATAATGCCCTTTTGAGAGAAGAAGAAAAAAACACGAGCACTTTTCACACAAATGCCACCGCATCTTGCAATTCTTGATGATAAAGGTAGACTTTCAAGACAACAGAGCTTTCTTTCATCTAAAAATATGTTTATGGAAACCCATTCAATGACAGTCTAGTTTTTCATAGCGAGAAAGTTCGCTTAACATCAAATTCTAAGTATATAGCACCAAAAAAAACAGCTATGGGACTGAAACAACGCACTTTGAGAGCAATCTGTTTTTGATAAGGAGAATGTAATATGTTTTTCTTATAATATGGTTATCTGTTTTTGATAAGGAGAATGTAATATGAAAGCTCTGTAAAAAAAAACAATTTAAGGTGAGCATCGGCATCTTTCAAGCTACCAAATGAATGTAAATTATAGATTAAGAAGGAAGAAAAATGTTCTCTAACAACTGGAACTAAGTTTCTTCCAAACGATGTGGTTACTTATTCAAACATAAATTGATTTCTGACAGATGAACGTTTTCTTTACCAAGGAACCCTTGACAAAACTTTTCTCTTCGACATTCCATCATTTTTTGCTAAGAATATGCTCTCAATACTTTAAATAACCAATAAATTTCTATTTTCACAGAAGCACATGGATACAAACTCGCCGCGGCCGCCGCGAGCGCGGCGCAAGCTGTACTGAAAACGGTACACATGATCGTAAGCGAATTGATGCGCCGTGGCAGCCAGTGGAATATTACCGTTCACCATTGTTACGCATTATCGCAAGCCTCTCGATTGACAGTGTATGTTCTCTAACTCCTCGAAAGAGCGCGATATTTGTCTTTTGTGTGGAAACTTTTCTTCGTGTCGTAGAGTTTTCTAGGCTTTCCGTACTAAAATTGTGCAAGGAACTTTGTTCAATCGTTCCACAGGCTTGATCTTTCATTTTTATTGTGCAATGTGCAGCAAACCCGTCACTAAGCTCAAGCCTTACGTGTACGATACGTAATTTTTCTTTTGGAAAACCAAATACAGTTGCAGATATCTCTATATTGTTATCAAGTGGCTAATGAAAGTCTCTGAAAAAGCCACTCACAAATCCTAGTCTCTTCGTTGTCGTTTATCGCAATGGTGCAAAATCCCATACATCCACCCATTCATGCAGTCAAGCAGACGAGGTTTGAGCGACTAAGTGATCGAATGATGGTTAAAGTTCTATAAAGAACAAAAACGCATCTTCGAAGTGACGATAATTCTTCACAATGCACCATGCCGTAATATGGGGTTCTTTCCATTAAAACGAGCCCTTACTTTTGCATTGATCAATCTCCTTAGGCCCGATCGGGTAGCTTGCCAAGAATACGGCATGCTGACCTATCTGCTTTACATATACTTTACGCTACCTCAGCCAATTTCACACGCTTGGTAATAGTCGAACACTTTCTGAGGTATGATAATTGATTTAGAAATAATGTCTCTTCTCTGTATGCGCTCATTTATCCTCAGCTTTTGCTCAGTTTCAACTTCCTGACAATGTTTATTAAACTTGTTCGAGACAAGATTTGTGTAACTTCACAGAAGACTGTCGAACATGGCCTTGGTTGTGCCACTGGTCAACATAAGTCGATGATATTTCTATGATTGATATCGTTTCAATATTCTGCATTCTATGTGTATGACCAAGAATTTTAAATAGCGCTTATGAATGCCCGTCAGCCAAATGGATGTGGTAAAATGATGTTGCATTGGAGAAAACCCTTGATTTTGGTTCTGTTATAAGTACAATCAAGATCATCGCAAATGCAGCTCCGGAATGCGTGTGCAACAACATTCACCACACTCTTCGTCTTTGGCTAATTATACTTTTTCAGTTAAACTCACTTAACATCGACCGTGTTCAGTAACATGAC